AGCAAGTAAACGCAGTTTTTATTACTATCTTTTTTAAACGTGTTCTAAACCTGTTCTTAATAATATATAGGTGTTCCTAAATACTATACTAGAGTTTAGTATAGTAGTACTAGATAATATATCTAAACTAGATACTATCTCCCCCCCCCCCCTCCTCATCATCCCAGCCATCGGCCTGCAGGCAGGGGGGGGGGGGTGAAGTCAACTGTCACTACTGCTCTTCCCCGGTCCAATCGCCGTCACCCTTCGCCAGCATCTCTCTGCCTTACTGTTACGAGCCCAGCCTGGGCCCTGGCGCTACACAGTAGTAGCTACCTAGACCATTCAAGGGCTGGTAGGGACTAGGCAGAGAGAGAGAGAGAGAGAGAGAGAGAGAGAGAGAGACAGAGAGAGAGAGAAAAAAGCTGGGCATGGCATGGGGCAGTATCTCTTGCATGTACTGTCCCTCTTACATGAGTTACTACACACTACAAGTACCTACCGTACCTACCTACTCCATGCTCCACGGCTCCTTCCAATCTAAATGAGCTACTCTGCGGCTCCTTCCAAGCAAGCAAGTCGTGCCTGCCTTCCTTCCCTCTTGCTCTCACCCTCGTTCATTCTGTTGTTGTCTGCTCTGGCTGATCTCTCTTTCCCTTCCTGTCGTGTCTCCCCTCTTCCCCCCTTCCCCAGTCTTCTTCCCCCAACCCACCAACTTTCCTCTCTCTCTCTCACTCTTCACCTCTTTTTTTGAATACATCATCTAGCAGCATCAGCACCTACAAAGGTCACGTCTTCTACCGCTTCATCCTGAATCGTCCCCCACCGCGGGGCCCATCGCTTGACGCTCGCCAGCGCCTCTGATGCAAATCTCAGCTCAGAACAGCCCAAGCGTCAGGTTGTTCGTCCTTGTCCGTGGCGCACATCCAAGACACCATCCAAACTGTCGGTACCGACTACCAGGCCAAGCTGCATGGGTGCGTAAGCCCTCTGCAAAAGAAATATCAACTTCGGGTTCCAGCAGGAGTCAGCGCCTCGCCAGCGAACCTGCTGCATCACGTCGGCCCGGGTAAAAGTGCACAGAGCGGGCCGATCGGACATGGCCCATTGTCGTGACTGCTCATTGCGCACAATGCGGTTGTGGGCACCCTGAGAAGCTCGTCGGGCACGGGATAGGAGGTACAATACTCTACATGTGGTAGGGGACAAAGCTATCTAGGAGTACTGTAAAATCAGCAATACGCCGTCCCGCCATACTCTAGAGTCGAGCCTCGCTCAGCGCGGGCGGGCTAGCCAGATTCCCCAGAGCAACCAACCAAACCTGATAACGTTCAGCTCTATCAGCTTGTGCGCTTGCACCACCTTCTTATTCGTACGTAAACTCAACTTCCACCCCCACAGATGCCTTAGCCTCACCGTTGTTGTGAACCACTCCCGACTGGCCACATGCAAGCGCGCAGCCATGTTAGCAACGCAACGACTCACGACTTGCCACCCCAAGCTTGTGGATTTCGATGAAACGGAAGCTAATGTTTCCTGCTTTCCTTGTGCTGGGGATTCGCCTTCGGTGAGGGCGCCAAAAGCGCCAGGTTCTTCTCAACACAGCACGACTATTACTACCGTCTACGAGTGCATTGCAACTACCCCACGTCTTGCGCTTGATTTAGCATCCATGAACCATGGCCATGTCTCACGCACGCACAATGTCCGTCATATGACAATGAGACAAGGGCGCCAACCCCACCCTACCCACTCTGCTTTTGGGGCTACTGTGGCCCGTAAAGCCCGTCGTTTAACGCTGTGGCCTCATTGGCTAGCTGGCTCCCAGCAACGTCCAAGACCGATCGAGGCGCACAACGAAGATCTTTATCTGCATGTCTTTTGAGTCGCGACCGTAGACTACCGTATCCCAAGAGTGAGAGCCACTTGGTCGGACATGGTAACATGTTTGCTTGGGAAACAGCCATGTTGCCAACGGTAGTCTTGGGCGAGATGGATGATGCAAAGACTAACGAGATACAGGCTTCCTTGGTCCATCGTGGCATCTGTGTTCGTCCCTCTCAACTCAACTCTCTTTTGCTCACCAACCAGACGTACAGTCCATTGCAGCCTAATAGAGTGTTGTAGGTTGGGCGTTAAACCAGGACGATCTCGGATGTACCTACCGTACATAGATGATATGTCTTGGATCAAGATTAGGTCATGTCCCAACTACAAGGCTCGCTTGGTCGATCCAGTTCATGCCAGAGCCAGCTGATCATCTGGCAAGGTGATGAACGAAACATCACAAAATTACGCCTATTATTTCAATTGCTAACAACCATGATCGATCATGGTATGATTGATCATACAATGACAAGGCGCATTTCACTAACAGCCTGTTCCGCCCCAAAGAACACGCCTCTTCACCCTTGGAATGGGTCAGTACAGTCATACTTGGCACAAGCAACATGGGCACCTAGACAAGTATACTGGAACCATACGCCTGCTTACTACTCTCTTTCCCATGGACTGAGTCGCTTGTGCACGCACACAGAGCAATCGGCTGCGGTTGTATGTCATGAGCAACTGTACTTGGCCACATCGCGGGCAAGGCCCGTTGGTGACTTACATGCTGCCACAGCTGTCAGGAACATCTGCCGAACCACGAATGTATCGGCCTGTTCGGCCCGTTGTTCTCATGGCTCGATTTCGGCATTGCGGTCAGGCTGGGCGACATGTGCATGGGTCCACTAGGAGTGGAAAGAGTGCACGTGACATTTGGTGTGCCTGCCATGTTGGAAGATTAGCTTTTCGTAAGAGGGAGGAACGCATAAGATTTAGTGCTAGATATAGCTATCTGTTGAATGCGTGATTAATCAACGACTAACGTCAACCCGGTCACATAATATGCTCAGTAGACTTGGCGTGCTTAGCAACACTAATCACATCAAGCACACTAGTTGGGCACTATTAGTTGTTTATCTTACCCGTTGGCCGACGACGATTTTAACAAGAGACCTCACTACAATGGAAATGCAACCTTCTTTTTCTAATCCATCGCCTCCTTTGAAGAGCTGTCTATCAAAGGGCCAACAGAGCCACAGAGACTGAGACGCCGTCTTGATCCACCATGCACCACCACTGAAGAAGCTCAATTGAAACTCATTTAAGAATACGACTGTCCTCCACAACATTCACGCCCAACAAGAGACATTCCTCTAAAATTCCACAATATATCAAAATCTTGCAAAATGTGACCTCACTCCCTCATACCGGTACTACAAGATTCTCGCGCTTTCTCGTCCTGCGCGATACGTGAAGACGGTAATGTAATCTACAATTCCACCTCCAACTTCAACTACCCCCCACCGGCCACCAGCGAAACAAGAAAAAATCACTTGCGATTTTCCTTCTTGCACTCTGAATTTTGCTAAGTAGTGAAATCACACGCAGCCTAACATACAAGGTACAGTTTACGCGTCATGGGTGGGAGTGGAAAGGGGCTTGGAGGAAGGGGAGAGTGGTGTGTCTGGGTGAAATGGTACGAGGATTCGATTTGTGACAGAAAGTGACTTCGCATCGTGTGTTCAGGTCAGTTGGAATGTGAACACGCATATTGGCCTGGGATATCTGGAGGAAGGCTGTGAATATGCGGTGTTGAAGAAGAAGGTGGGGTTGAGAGTGTGAGGCGAGGGGGAAATCAAGCTAGGATTTCACTCTGTGGGAGGACAAAGTGGGCGGCTTGTTGTTTGCTTTTGAGGGAGTGTTTAGCGCCTGGTTTAAGGTGTACATGTATCGTCATTTCTGGAGATTTCACTGCCGCGATTAGTCTAGAATGGGGCTTTGTCTACGGGAGCGTGATGAGTATCAGAAGCAGGACGTCCAGGTTTCTGGCCAAATTGTTTCGAGTGGGTATGAAAATGTGTGTTGACAGGATTCCTGCTCTAAACTGTTACGGATGAAGAAATATCATCAGAATAAAGGTGCGGTAGAGGTTATGGAATGCTTTTGATAAATGTTAAATAACATGATACAATATGCGAACAAATATTGACTAATCCTACATGACCTGTTGCATCTCCGCAGGAAGTCTTGGTTTCGCCTCCAACTTTGAGCTCTCAGCGAAAGAGAGCTCCATGAACGCCTAGCTAAGCCAGATGGGTAGTATTAAACAGCCGATTACCCGTATCAGTTGTACCACTTCCAGTAAACTTGGTTTCAGAAACCCGAAGTGCAACGATATCCACGCGTCTATCCGCAGAGAGCGCTTTATACATGATACTATCTCTATGCAAACACTGCGCTTGCACAACGCCCGCAACGATAACGATTCGTATCTCAGGGCGATGAGACCGTATAGCTCCAATACACTCTATCACAGACTTCCCTGTATTCACCACCGAATCCACGAGAATGACCTGCGCTTGGCCGTCGAGATGATGAGATTGCAGGTCTTCTGGGACTTTGACGTGCACGTAACTGGCACGTGGGAAGGCTTCGTTGACACCCAATGCCATGGGATCACCGCCACGCATCAGGGATACAATTGTTGTTTGATGTTCGTTTGCGAGCTGAAAGCCGCTGGTCGGACGGCCGAGTACGTGTGAAATGGGACAAGGTTGCAAGCCAATGATGCGGGAGACGAGTTCATGCGCAAGGTACCAGCCGGTTCTTTGGTGGGCTTTCCGCAGACTGGGACCCTGGACAGCTGCATCGCGCATTGGTGTAGCCAGGAGCTTCGAGGCTGTTTGTGCCGCTGTTGATATCGCAAGTTCGGTTGGCTGTTCCGTGCGAGCTAGTAGAGCGTTGACAAAGTCAAGTTTGGTTATATCGACCAGTGGTAACCTTCTAGTATCAAGCCTTGGTGGAGCCGAACTCGGTAGCACGACCTGAAGCGCACAAAGGGCTTCATTTTCTATTGCGTTGGCGAGTGCGGCTTCCATGGACTTGCTCCTTGTGCCTTCCTCAGTGACCACGACAACAGCGTGGTCCGCGGCCTGCAGCATTTTCATATCGAGCGGACTATCTCCAAAGGCCCAAACCCTCTTATGGTGCTTTCTTTGTAGCTCGGTAACGATCTTAGCTTTGGTTGCCGCCGTAACTACCAATTTATCGACGATACGTCCTCCAGCCATTACCGCCACCGTTTCCTGCAGGTTTGCTTTCTCAAGCACAATCTCCCAGATGCGTCGATGACCACAGCTAACGATGATGGCTCCGACCCTGGGTAGATCTTTCACAAGTTGTAGCAATGATAAGAATTCTGAGTGTATGATTGTAGCCGAGGCTACCTGCTGACACACATTCTCGTACGTCTCATCGTCAGCTACTTCTTCGTGTAGGAGCGTGGCTTGCCGAAAAGCAGTATATGAATAGCCTAGAGGGCCACCAAATAGCTCCTTCAGTGGACTTGCGCCTTGTTTACAATGTGGACCGTGGGCAGGAACGATTTCCCAGAACATTTTGCCTGTATCCTGAGACGTAATCGTTCTGTCACCGTCGATGACCATGACCGTCTCCGCTTGGCCGAGGTGGTGAAAGACAACCTCATCTAGCTCGTCCATTGTGTGGTCATCGTTATACTCTTCGTCGTAGTTATCGAAATCGTGTATCAATTCCTGGACCTTTCCTTGCAAGATCTGATCGATAGAAACGACCGAGAGGAAGATACCGTGCTTGTGGCACAAAGGTGAGAGCCTATCCAGCTCAGCTTGCTGCCACTTTGATAGGTGATTGACCGAAGATAATTTCCTCTGCCTCCTAGCATCCTTGCTGCAGCGTTTTTCGATGATCTCTGGAGGAACATTCAAGTACACGATGTGCGTGTATGTCGCCATGTCGCTTTCGGTACAGACGACATTTCCGAGAGAGTCGTTCTCCGTCCAAAACATGAAGTGACCCGTGACAATCGCCGTCTTTCGGCTCTCGACGCAGTCATTGTAGACTTTCTTGATAGCGAGCTGTCTTAAGTCTCTTTTTCTTTCGTCATCCAGCTTCTGAAATGCTGCTAGACCGCCAGGGATCTGCTGAGCGATTATCTCCGATCCTTCATAAAAGGAGTAGCGCTCAGCATATAGAACTTTGCTTAGTTCCGCCAGAAGAGTTGTCTTGCCCGATCCGGGGATTCCGTAGATACCAATGACTTTGGGACCTTTTAGCTTAGCAGAAATGGCTGCCTCATCCCAGCTTCCTCCTGAATCGCTGGCCGGGTTGATTGGATTCATTTGCGCAGCTTGAGAAAATTTAAGAGATCAGTTACGTAGATGGTCAGATGTCAAGCTTTTGGTATTTGATGGCTAAGGCTGTTTTCTTATTACCGGTTAAGCGAGGATATCTACTCTAACAGCTCATAGAACTGCCAATATTTCTGTCTCTTTATACATCTATTGATTGTCTCCTTGATGGATTGCTTGATGGATTGCTTGATGGATTGCTTGATGGCTGCTTGATGGATTGATTGCAATCGACGCACCCTATCACGGAAGAAGCGGCCATATCCGTCGTAACTTGCGACAGCAAGCCTTGAAGGTTGCAGGATCCATATGGTGACGCAAAGCCACTTCTTCAAGCTTATGATCTTTGGCAGGGTTGACGACTTCGCACACCGAGCGATGATCGACGCCGCGGCAAAAGCGAGCTGCCATGCGATAGAAGCTCCATCTTGAGGTGTATTTGGCTACCATGTAACCGTATACAAGCGAGTTACGCCATAAGTAGAATGGTGGTGGCCTTATGATTGGATGTCCATCGTTTTGGGCGCGCAGTATCGCGAAGAGGACGTCTGATGTCTCGCTGAGCTTCTGCCATCGGGTGTGCGCGGCGCGGCGTTCTCGAAGCTCTTCGCGCATTCGAGTGCGGTACCAGGAAGGTGCCCATTGTTGGCTGAGCTTCAGCATGGCAAACCACCGATGCAGGGCCATGAAGGAGTAGGTGTTTCAAGACGAAGAAGAGAGGTGGGATACAATGTAGGAGATGGTAGGCTAGAGACAGCGCCTCGTTGCATGTGAAACAGGCACGACAAGGATCGTTGGTGGCTTTCGGGCTCGACTGCTTCTTGGCATTTAGAAGCATTGAGTCATTTCGACTCACGTGATGAATTTCCTACGTCATGGTCTATGCATCAGCATCATCCTTTGCTGCTTTGTGACGGTGCGTTGTGGTGAGGTACTTTGCCAGTTTGTTCACGCTGTCACGCAAACCAGCTGCTGCCGGTAACTTCTTTGCGCAAACGCTATATCTTGTAACCATCCTTCCATCAAATCGAATTTGTCTGTGCTTGGACTGCTGTCAAGCGTAGGCATACACTGATACTGAACGGCCAATACTAAATGTAAAGCAAGCCTGCGTGCGTGTCCCTGATATCCCCCGCGCAGATCTACCTAAGCGACGGCACGGCCCGAAGCGACATTGGTGAATTAACTTATAGTAGTTAGCCTGATAGCATCATCGTGACGACGATCAATGCCCGTGACCACGGTCTGCATTCCTGAATCCAGCGGTAAGTATCTTAGTATTCCTTCGGTTCTTTGCGGAAGCATAGGAGTAGAAATCCTCCACCATAATTTTCTGTGGGGTGAATGGGCGACAGGGTGCGTGAGCTTTTGTAGGCCATAGGTAGTGGTCAATTTTGAGCCATGGATGGGAGGACTTCGCACGCACAACTTCACCCGTCACGTATATACGCGTACTCTGCTCTATGTACCTTAGCGGGTTGTATCCCATTTGAGAGACTTAAGAATCCGTCGTTAGGTGCAGAACCACAAGAGTTGTGCGATAAGCCACTGAGACTCTACGTTCATCTATCTGCGTCAATGTGGTTCACAATCGAATAGACGACATCTCGAACAGTGACTGCCAATTTTGCCGGCCTGTATATCACTCTGCATTTTCTTCTCTAATGCTATTAATAGCACAGCTTGTTCTTGGTCTTGAATGCCTAGTTGAAAGGACTTTGCAGAGACATCCAGCATGCCTTTCCCCACAGAGCACTCTTGAATTGCTGTCGTAGCTGTCTTGCGATCGCCTGTCCCTGCCTCTCCTATCGTCCTGCGATCAGATACCAAGTTAATTCCGAGATAAGAGAATCGACCACGGTCGCATGAATCCATTCCAACGCACGCAAAATCTTTTTCGACGCATCGTGACCAACGGTATCGGGTCCCACAATTCTCAGGCGACCTCACCTGCTCCTGCTTTACCGTTCCAATATATTCCTCTTCTCTGTGCTTCATTGAGGTTTGAACGCGGCATAATATATTTCGAGTGCTGAAATTCTGCATCAGCACATCTGGATGGTCGAGGTTATTTTCGAAGTATTTGAGGTAGAGCAAGATTGTTTGGACTAAATCCACGAGGACAGAATGTTACATTGATTACACCCATAACAGCACCTCTTCAACACGAGGTCGTCATATTTCAGTAGCCGGGTGATGGAACTCCGTCACTGGCGACAGGTTGAAGACGATACTTTGATCGATTGAGATAGGTTTTGGATTGCGCGATGGGTATCATTGCTTTTGTGGACTTCAAGTACCATAAGCAAGACCAATAGCTTAGATCAATTGACCCTCTAATGGGTAGGAAGTTATAGACAACCTAGTATACTTCATCTTCAAGATTCCATCATAGGTTCATTAGATGGTGCAACTGAACGCATACTGCGTAAGCAGATGCCAGATTACACTTCGATTACATGCCTTTTCCATCCTCTTTGCTGTTTTCGTGGGTAGGGCTGGCCCAAGAAGAAATGATTGTGGCAGGTGTCAAGAAGCTCAGGACGGGTTGGCATATCTTCTGCGTGTTTCCCATCCCTCTCCGGGAATTGCTTCATTTCTTCGTCTGTATTGATCCTGCTCCCATGCTGCTTCCACTTCTTTCTGGGCGATCTGTGCTGCTTCATTCTTGCATTCTTTCTTGGATAACCTGACCAATCCTGTACCATGTTGTGACGATCGATTACAAGCCTGTCGCACCATATGCTTGCGTTGTAAGTGGTAAAAGACATTGTAATCGCTTGATTTGTTGGTGATGCTACTATATAGCCTACAAGACGTCGCTTGAAAGAGCGCGGCGACACATTGCCAGTGTCACGACCACCATGCTCATTGAGGCAAGGGGTCGCATTCATTGCCTAACATCATAGTATCACTGAGACGATCGGCCGTGTAATACCTACCTAGCTCCAATCAACAGGTTCTCAAAATTTTGTGTCCAACTCCCATTCAACTTTACTGTCATTTGCCTTCGCGCGTGTCGCGCCCAATCTCTGCACTATGGACACCGTAATCGCTGCTGAAGGTGTTCGTAAATGACAAAATCTAATGCTGAGCTGTTAGCAGATATCTGGGAGCAGGATCCTTAGGCATATCCTCTCTACTCCAACTACAGTCGATATTTCCTATGAGCTATTTACGCAGCTATTAGCAAGCCCTGAGATGTTTATAATGACTATCATACTTTAAAGTCAGATCCTGCTGCTCATTAGTTGTGCGTGGGCTCATAAGGATTTCGGTGCTTCATTCAATTTTACCGTAGTGTTGGGCCAGACCAGATCCACATACGAACCTCATGGACGTTTCACAACACAAAAGAACATCTCGTATCAGAGTATATATCGTAGATCCTTAAAACATGACAGCAAGCTGTTCTACACAACAAATCTATATTACGGCGGGACCGAAGATGTTGCAGTTTGAACACACAGCAAAACGCGTGTGCCTCTTGACTATTCCTATGATAGATATGAGCTATGTATTTACTGCGTACTTCACTATCACGCCCGTTCTCTTCGACTTTTAGGAGTATAGGATTTCTCTTAGCGAGTATAAGTGACACCTCCTGCATTCCCGCACATGTACCAACATGCATGGTTAAGAATCCTCCTTCATTACTCCTGAATCCTTCGCTGTTCTTGACTTTTTTAGCTCATTCGTGTCTCCGCGGCACTGCTTCCCTTCCTGGTCCATAAAAACTACAATCTACAGGACTTCTTAAGCACTTCGGGTACCCCGTTTCTACCATATCTTATATCCTCAATCGTTATAATCATGAGCAAAATTTTATTGACTGGTGCTACCGGCTATGTCGGTGGCACAGTACTGTCTGAACTTCTCGCCAACACCGCCCCCCAGCTCAAATCTCTCACATTAGACCTTCTTGTCCGCAACGAGTCTCAGGCAATCATTTTGAAAAAAGCGTATGGGCATCGCATCAACACAATCATATGGCAGGGCCTACACGATACGATCTTCATCGAACAATTGGCCGCCAACTATGATATTATCATCAACACAGGATCTGGCTTCATCGCAGAAGGTGCTGTTGCTTTTGTGAATGGTTTAGCTCAACGAGTGGCAAAAGACAAACCCGCACCCTGGATGTTGCATATATCCGGATGCACAAACCTTGCAGATCGTCCACTATCACAACCGTCTGTGCCATGCCGAGAATGGAATGACGCTAGAGACGGGTCGAGGATCTACGAACATATGACGCTTCTTGACTCACAGGACCCGTATCCTCAACGAACTACCGAGCTGAGAGTGCTGCAAACTGCATCTGTCACTGGTGTTCAAGCAATCAGTGTTAACACTCCTTGCATTTTTGGAGAGGGAAGTGGCTTGTTCAATAGGCAAGGGCTGGTTGTTCCTCTTGTTATGATGTATGTGTTACAACACGGCTATGGCTTTCGACTCAGCGACACTGCCAACTTCGACCGTGTTCATGTCCTTGACCTTGCCGAGATTTATGTCCGTCTGGTACAGACTATATTAGAGCGGCCTGATCGCGGCGTTGGGTATATTCCTACCGGCCATCACGGTATTCTCTTCGCGGAAGCCGGTCGAGTCCTTATCGAAGAGATCAATCAGAGATGCCTTGACGTGGCTTTCTCAGATGGCGTTCTCCCACGGAAGGGCACTCCGAAGGAAAAGGAAACCCGTCTTGTCTCCCTCCGGGAGATTGCCGATGAAATCACAGCAGGACAAATCGACATCGCAGAACGTGGCTGGGCCGGCCATAAGGCTACGAAGGCAGTTTATGCGCGTGAGATTCTAGGTTGGTGTCCCCAAAGGCTTGAGGACGCTTGGCAGACCACATTCTTGGACGAGCTTGTCGCCGTGAAAGAGGGCCGGAGGAAGTTGACAATGGAGGGTTGTATTGGAACAACTCAAATAAGCTGAATTGTTATTGCCCACTCAATCTTGTCTTTATTCTTGTAAAGTAATCCATGTAAACTGTTCCATAATCTCTGGTTCTTCATCTATTTCTCTCATGTTGCTCTTAAAGTGCATTACTTGATGTCTGAAGCATTATCCCGAAGATAGCATTTCAACATTTTGCAGTGGCAGCTTTTTCATGGCCTCTTCATGCTCGATATCTCGATGTTCGTATCTTTGACTATTTCAGGCGTTATGATTGCCTCCTCGCTACCATTGCCAATCTCTGTTACATCAGTAATGCCATACATGCGATTGCTCAAAGACTTATGGACCAATCCACGTGAAGGCTTGAGTGCAATGGCATCTTCTCGCGACTGCTCCTTCGGATCCCGGTAATTAGAGTAGCCGCTACGACTTGGACTGCTCCCCCAGAGTTTCGGAATATATGTGGTCAGTATGGCTCTGAATGTGGACGCCGAGTTGCAGATGATCGCTTCAATGAGCAAGTGTTATTACCATTTCATGGACTGGCCAAGCTTGGCCATAGAACCACTTACCAGCATATATTTCAATACTGCACCAATTCAGTGAATCTGCCATATAGTACCAAGTATCTGCGTCATTGGCGAGGAAGAGCACGTAATACAATCGCACACAGCCAGCTGTTGTCTCGTCAGCTCCTCAAGTTATCTCATTGGGGATTCAGCGTACCCGCAACAGCGATCAGGCCAACACATAAGAGTGTGCACAAAGCCACTTTTTGTCGTCGTGGCATTTGAAGTTTCCACACAATGGACAGCGGTAGGACGTATATTGCGATGTCTTGAACGATACTAGGGTCAGGAATGTGAGAATTGAATCAGGGCAAGTCCGAATCAACATCTCGAAAACTCACTTGATGATTCCATTCGTATTGAAGAACACTTGTTGGGTGCTCTGTGGAATACACTTCTCGGGGTTTCGAGCCTGGCCTTGGAGATCCCAGAATAAAGACGGTGGTGTGCATACAAAAAGCAAGACGAAGAAGGTCACAATGCTGAGCACGGCAACTGACGCCATTAGAACATACACTATCAATCTAGTGCCTTTTCGTGGATCTAGTTCTCGGTAAAACACGAGGATGCTGAATTTCACGAGGCAGATTGCCACAACGTAGAGAAGTCGAGTTGCTAGATTGGCTTTCAACATGGGTGTAAGATTCTGAGTGGGAATGTTGACCGCTTCATGCGCCGTCAGCATTCAGCATACCGTTATTTCAGATTGAAATCTCTCACTGTGCATGCCAACTCCATACCAGCCACCTGAAGCAGTACATCAATATCACAGCCTACGAAGTTGGATTGGAGGATGAGCAACTCACATATCATATTAGCTACTGATAGTAATATGGTGAAGAATGTGCCACTGAGGATTAACCCTGTGCAATATGGGGTTAGGCAAGGTTGTGGTGCGGTGTCAAGGACATTCTCACAGTCATCCGCAGTCAGTTTTGAGCGTAGCAGGTTCCAGCGTACATGGAAGCGCAAAAATACGACGATGCTTGAGATAATAATAAATGGGATAGCAACCATAAACATAGACGCCTGCTTTGTCCCAGGTTCCAATCCGCGTGTATGCCATATGTGTGTAGTGGCTTTGTACATGTACACCGTTGCCATTACTGACAAAAAAATCAACTGAATATACCAGAACAGGGTACTTGCAACCAAAGCGATTTTCACTGATTTTTATGTGCCGCCTTCTCCTATGAGTGTAGTATCATGAGGCGATGCTCTCTGGCAGATGCGATCATGGAAACGGATGGGAAAATGAGTACGTGCCACGGCCCTTCTGGTGGCTTCAGGCAATCCCTTCTTGTTGGCAGTTTGAAGGAAGTCAATGCTAGAATACCGGACCCGCTTTCTCAACTGTGCCGCGCTCTTGGCAGAATCCTTCCGAGCACTTTTGTTGGTACCATCTCGGTTCTTGCGCCGTTTCGACGGGTAGGAAAATGTCCCCGAGCCATTCATGAGTCTTGACTTCCGCTGTGAACATGTAGAGATCATCTGTGAATACCGGAAGGAATTAAATGCCTCTGTCATCTTTGCAGTCAAGTCTCAACCCCCCGACATTCGGGTATAGGAGGACGTCTAGCGGCAACCAAGCCCCACTGGTGATTTCCCATGTAGCAATACCACTACTCACGGCATGTTGCAAATTCATGTGCTCTGAATCAGCAATATTCGCTCATCTAGGTTGGCACGGGGTGAACTGAAGCGTGCGCCTCACATTTTCCTACATACAGTGCAGGTGGCGTGTGTGAATTCATATCACATAATCATGAAATCTGAACGGCTCAGTGAGTGCTGGAAAATCTCAGATGCATACCATCTAGTTTGAATAGCAGTCTACATGTAAATCGAATGTCTGCTTGTGTGCTGGGAGATCATATACTGTACAGCCAGACGACAGATTTGTTCTGCAACCGGAGATACACAACATTAAAACGCTCATTTAGCCCAATGCCGCAACGAGAATTGTCTGCAGCTCACACAAAATCTCTATTGAACATGTCAATGATGAGTTGCTAAATTAGTTGGGATCTACTGCAGGCAGCAGCAAACTGCGGGTATCATGCGCCCTGAGTTCACTTTTGTGGTGACGCAGGAGGGTGAATACGCGAAAGTTGAGAAGTGCATACTAGTGGCTGAGTATTCAAGGGACTGCCAGTGGGCTTCTGGAGCGTCAAACCTCGAATCTAAATATTCGATTTGTCCCGTGTAACATCACTCTTCTTCGTAGTGTCATGTATACTGTCAAATTGAATAGACTGAATAGTAGTTTGTTAGTTCAGCAAGGAGCTTAGTTGTCTTACAGAACCCACTAATTAGTGCCTGATGGCAGTTAACGACCAGTGTGAAAATGAAAGAATACCCTCTCGCGGGGCTTCTATTGAGGGATTCACACCCCAAGTTGATCTCTCACCTTCTCCTCACCATGTGTGGTGTTTCGCATAGTACGGAACACTAAAACACTTTCACAAACGTCTACTCAAAACTCCATTGGTATCTCATCGGTGTCTCTCATCTGCTCAAGCAGATATGACGTCTAGAATAATTACAATCTCCGTATTGTACGCTAATGCCTGATGTCCGAGCATTGAGCCAGATCTGGGGGCCATTGCTGCCATCATCATGCCATGCACACAACACTCAGTCTGCCAATGCCTCATTCAGTTTTAATCCTTCCAGAAATTCGGGATAAAAACGGTGGGCTCACCATCAGCCTATTGCCCGATTGCGGTCAAGTCCGGTTGAAAGATGTCCTCCTCATGGACCGCTTTGGATCCAGTGATCATATCTTCTCGCAAGCCATCCTTTAGTTCCATTGAATAGCACCGACTCTTTCTCCGATCCGGAAATGGCACTGGCTGATCAAATGCTGTATCACTTAGAGCATTTGACAACTCGCTTGAAATTCAACATCTCGATCCAAGGATAACGCTGGTCGATTACATTATTCTATTCCTGTGTTCACTTAGGATCAACTCGGCAGGAGCGATGCTGGAAACTTTGGACTTACAGTTGACTTTTCCTGACTGATATTTCAGTAAAGCTCACATTGAGCAAACTAATGCCCAAAACTAAAGATATTTCGCATTCAGCTCTATCTCTAAGCGAAGGACGTGACACTGTTTGTGCCCAGAAGCGCGTCGCTATCATACATCAAATTTCTGCAATGCGCACGGCAAGAGTGTCCCCACACACACGATCGAAGGACCAATATGCTTCTTGGCGTTGTGGGCGCATCATTTCAGTGACTTGAATACGAAATTTTGTGAAAGGATACTGAACATTGCCAGCGTCATCGAGATTACTGTTCCATTTTCAATCGACAGGGAAATCGGCCTCATTTATAATATACTGTTTCTATACAAATATTTCTGATCCATAGATCTCCTCGACAATTGAGTTTCGCGACATATCAAGACTGTAGGCTGAGCAGCCTCGGGGGCAGCGCCCCCAAAACTCGATAGAAGAATTGTCATCAAATAATGCGAGGTCTGAACTCAACATCCCCACCTCTGCTGCTTGATTTTCATTCAATATTTATTCGGCAGTCATCAGGTTGCTGTCTATATAGGAAGGGTTTACATCTCTTGCACGGTTCCCGTGCCATGCGCAACGCCGTGGTTCTCACCTGGCGATAGGAACAATTCAGCAACACTCTACGTAATTCCTTTACAGTGTATTTGTTAAAGCGCCAAATTCAAACAAATTCCATGTCTATATCTGCAAGATCGGGCTTTTGACTAAGCATTTAATATGAACCCAGGATGACTACATTCAATTTCTGATGTCTAGTCAGCCAGGCTTCTTCTGGCATTCGCCAATACCGGAAGAAAGCGAACAGGCTTTCGATTTATAGGTGGAACCCAATTGTCGCTCATACAGTCAGCTATCATGACATGGTTTCTTCTTTAAAGCCTCGGGAAAGCTTCAAGGCCCAAAATCACCAGAGCCTTATGAACACCCCCAGCTAATTGATCTCTCAGTAAACCTGAAGAATCTTGGTGCAACCATCCTCTCTGGGCACGCCTAAGCTCTCAGTTCCACACCTCCTACATGACTTACATTTCATTGGGACATCCCTTGGCTACAATTCTCTGCATTCAAAGCTGCAATTATAATAATCGCACGGTCGTAGTTAACGACCCTTCAACGAGCTTAATTCTTCGCATCGTTTGCAGAATCTTGTATAATTCACAATGAGCCAATCCGTAGGTAAGGTTCGCCTCATTTTCTGGTGATATCATTGGTATCTCTGCATATACTTAGTAGCTCCATGTATACCGTCCTATTATTCACATGACTCCCCAAGTCTCAAGTCAGCGTCCATGGCAGGGAAATTCCGGGTGATGCTCATCAACGGCTTAGTTCAACAAAGTAAATTTTTCATACAGCACTACGGAGAGAACAAGCTTGACCCGATCATGTTGAGCTTCGGTAGGTTTTACGATCACAAATGACACTAGACGGGATGTTGCCTGGTCATACATGGGGAGATCAGTACTAAAATGAGAATCTTCAGAACGTAAATATTGACATAGCAGGCATTTTGGGCACATGAAGGTTGATTGGTCATTCAACTTTTGAGCCATGATAGGAGCGATGGAAATTCGAAACATGATTTTGAAAACATGATTTTGGAGACTGAAGCTATCTGATTAATATGTGGGATAGCATACCGAGCTCAAAAGCCATGTTCAAGACGACCATGTGATATCGCTTGCGACGTTTCTCAAAAAGAATTTAGGAACTACTAATGTTGCTATCAAAATCGTGATCTTCTCGCAATGCTACGTGAGACATGACCTAATGTCTTCCTAATTTTTTGTCAACGGCCATCATCAGTCGCTGCGGGGGCTTTGGGATAAATTTTACATGTCTGTGGTGCCTAAAGCTTTTTCTGAGAATCTCGGGTCCTAGAATAACGATCACCTGTACCTAACGCGAACTTTCGCTAGCTTGATAGAATTCAAGCAGCAGTTTGAGAATGCTTCGTGGATTTCTATATCCAGCCAGCCTGAACATGTGCCGGTACGGCTCGGAAGGAGCCCTCTCTCCAACCGCTTCTCCTCAGCAATATTTGGCAATTGACCGTTGCTTTCTAGCACTTGCCGCCTGCTCTGTTTGTCACTTGATGTTCCCAGGCAATGGCAGAACTTGTTATGCTTGATATTTTCGAGTCTTCACCCAGAGGACTGACAAGATGTCTTGTTTATTGAAGTCTGTAGTGTCCAATGAAATCAAGAATATGGGAATCATTTAGATGTGCGATCCTTACGTGCGGGGAAGACTATCGAACCGCATGACTGCCTGTGGAGTGGAGTATATCCGACGCCATTTACCGATGCGCATGTTGAGTAGCTTGATTTGAAAACGGTACCGGTAGCATGCAGAATACCTCATTCGCTGCATAGATCGCCGCACAGCTGATCATTACGATCCTAGTTCGAATCACTGGAAAAATGCAAATTGAACGATATCTTGACGCCTACCGTCAGCGTCGCATCTGCATCTTGCATCTGTTGTGTAACTGCGGAACCAATGACAATGTGCCAACCCCGCAGGCAGTGAGCAGATGCTGCTAAGACCTGATAGCAATAGAGAGCACCAACGGTTTCTACATCGGTGTGAAAAGCGCAATCTTCAAGGTGGAATAGGCTCATAGACATGCGTCCTGGTTATTCGTCGAGGTATAAGTGCAGCTCGAGCGCGACCCGCCACGGTCTACAAAGGCAGTGTAGCTTGCCCAATCGCCCAAGATGACCTTGGCTGTTCAAATTTACGATGCTCGGTACTTCTTGTCATTTCTTGCTCTTTTCATTTTCGTGGGAAACAAGTATCGTAAATATCGACGATTGCAAAATTTCCCCGGTCCCTTCAGTACAGGCTGGTCAGAAGCGTGGCATACCCTTACTACACTCAGCAGACACAATCATCTCGAGTACCATGAAGTCAGCAAGAAGTATGGTGAGTGATTTAATCTAGATACCGAGAAGTCGTGCGCTTGCGTCCGATTTGGAGCGGACGTGACAACCCTACTGACGATGGCTCCGCAGGCCGCATCGCTCGCGTTGGACCAAATGATCTCCTTACATCTTCGCACGAGTTGCTTGCGCATATGAATTCAGTACGATCGCCATATACCCGAAGTGCGTGGTACAATACCGCTGCTCGCATGAGGCCTGGACGAGACAACATCTTTAGCCAAATTGACGAGGAGGAGCACACTAAACGCCGTCAACAAATGGCATCAGGCGTAAGTGATGAGCCGTCTCAATGGGTGTCTCAATCCTAAATGATGATATATAGTATTCTGGCAAGGAAAATCTAGCCTTGGAATCCGACATTGACAATCGCGTACTTGAATTACTCAATCTCATCCGAACCAAATACACATCGACTGCAGCGCAGTCACGCCCTGTGGATATTGGCCGCAAAATCCAATACTTCACCTTGGACGTGATTAGCAGTGTCGGATTCGGGGAGCCATTTGGAGATCTAGAGGCAGATGCAGACTTGCATGACATCATCAAGTCCACCAAGGTAGGTCTAACGATGATTACCATCTTCGGAGCCTTTGGTCTTGTCCCATACCTTCAATGGCCGTTGATCGCTCACCTCCTTGCACCATCGGAGACTGACAAGACGGGTGTGGGACGCATGATGTACATTGCACGAAACGTTATCGATAGTAGGCTTAGAAAGCCACTCGAAGGACGATCCGACATGCTGGCCTCATTTATGCGTCATGGTCTGAGCAAAGATGAATTGCTTTCAGAATCACTTTTGCAGATCGTAGCAGGATCTGATACTACCGCGACTACACTACGATGCACTTTGCTGTACATCGTCACTCATCCGCAGGTATATCGTAGACTCCAAGAGGAGGTTGACGCCGAAATTGCCTCCAACGGCGTCGACAGCAAGTCAGGGGTCATCTCGGACTCGAGATTGAAAATTCTGCCCTATTTGCAGGCCGTGGTTCGGGAAGGGCTGCGCATCCATCCACCTGTGACGGATGTAGTTCCAAAAAAGGTACCCAAGGGCGGCGATAAGTTCACAATAGACGGCCAGGAATACTTTTTCCCAGAAGGAACAAACATCAGCTACAGTGTCTGGAGTGTCCAACATGACAAGGACATGTTCGGTGAAGACGCAGAGTTCTTTCGCCCAGAGCGGTGGTTACTCGACGAGGAAAGCGACAAGGATCGCCTTCTCGCCATGAGGCGTACGACAGATATGATCTTTGGGTATGGCAAGTACCAGTGTTTAGGGAAGCCTGTGGCTTGGATGGAGACTACGAAAGTTCTGTTCGAGGTAATCATGCGTTGATGTGATGAGTGTTCCCATGCTAATGACAGCAATAGTTTATGCGCCATTTTGAATGGACGATCTCGAAGCCAGAGACGCCGTGGACCTCGCAAAATTACTTTGGGATTTTCCTACAGAACGAGTTGTGGGTCACAGCGACGGAGCGAGGTGACGGCTGAGGACATGTAAGCGGTTCAGTAGAATGGCAATCAACGGTGCAGGCGTGGGGGAGAAGATTCTTACAAATAACAGTTTTCATTTTCTACAACGAAGTGAATTGATTGAAGTGTCACATGTGCGATGCCACAAGTATTGCCTATGTAGGTGATAGATAGCCCATCTAACATGGGTTGTGGCTGTAGGTCACATGACCCTAGAGTGCGCTATCTTAAGCATGTGTCTGTGAATTGAGATGGCTTCTCACCTCGATGCGACGAAAACCTTGTTAGGTATGTTTTAGTTGAGGCACAACATGTAGATAGCAGTTCCAGTATTAATCTACCTCGAAAGGAGTGATTGGGGGGTAGCACGCGGTAATTAGGGGTTAGGACTTACTGTTAGGGCTGAACTGAAAAGCGGGCCCCCGCTTGCGTCTAATGGGCCGCGGCTGTTTCCTACTAGGCGCAATCGCGGAACATCTACGTCAACCTCAACGTTTCAGCTCAGCGGTGTGCTGGCAGACTGCTGCTACTGTTACTCTTTCCTTCGACCTACTCCTATCCATGTACTCAACCCGCAAGTTTTTGTCTTGAGATTACCCTTTACGTCCCCTCAACGTCACCACCCGTCATCATGTCCACACGCGGGCAATTCAACACCAAGAACCCAACCATCAAGCGCATATGTAAGCGTCATAGCATGTGACACGACATCACCACTGACAATCGCAGTAAAAGAAGCTTCTGAGCTCTCCGTCACAGCCTCGGCAGACTACCATGCAGAACCACTGGAGGAGAATCTGTTCGAATGGCACTTCACCATCCGTGGCCCGCCCGAGCCCTCGGCATATGCTGGTGGCATCTACCACGGCCGCATCATCCTACCGCCCCAGTACCCCCTCCGACCCCCATCCTTTCGTTTCCTGACGCCAACTGGCCGCTTTGAAGTCAATCGCGAGATCTGCCTCAGTATTTCTGGACACCATGAGGAGACATGGCAGCCCGCTTGGGGCGTCAGGACAGCACTGGTCGCGATAAGGAGCTTCATGGACACAGACGCCAAGGGCCAATTGGGAGGCATCGAATGCAGCAAAGTGGCACGTGGGCGTATGGCCAAGGATAGCGGGTCGTGGACATGTGCCGGTTGCGGGAAGAGTAATGCGGATATCATGAAGGAGCGTGAGGCGCTCGTGGCGGAGCTTGAAGCGAAGGAGGGCACACGCAAGGAAGAAGAGGTGCCTGAGGAGCTTCGCCTGGCATACCGCGATGAGCTGGACAAGAAGAAAGAACAACATGAATCAAATGGAGGCAATGGGGAGGGCAAGGCGGTGCAGCCATCTGCCGAAACTGCCTCGGCCGCAGCGTCATCAATAGCAGTAGCACCAACATCAGCATCAGCAATGCCTGCGCAAGCCTCGAACTCTACGGCAGCACCCGCAGTACCTCAGCCGAGACCTACCAGAACCACACAACTACCTCTTCAGAGGCGACAGGTCATCCAACGCAGCCCAGACCGTTCATTTGACTGGGTCGACACATGCATATATGGTGTGGTGGCGGCACTGCTGTTCATGGTGATCAGAAAGTTTGGTTGACCAGAGTCATGTGCGTGTTGGCAATAGTCACGTGCGTTGAACATCGTTTGACTCGTCTAGACCTGTTCAAAACCTGTTCGACATGTCCACAGGTAATTCTTTCATTCTCATCTCAATGTCTCAATTATTAGCAAGCGTTGGAGTTATGGGTACAAGGGAACAGCATTTTCTTCCGTTATCATCTTTTCGACAACATGTCAAGTCATGTTTGCGAGTCAAAACAATCGAGGCGAATACAATCCAATCCACACCACCTCGTTTCTCGAGTTCATGCATCTAATGTCTACTCTCTTTCTTGTCTCTTATGATATCACTGATGTCAAACGATCTCACTCTGGTGCGAAGTACACGACTAACTCATCATCTGGAGATGGCTACCCTATGTGATAACGGGTATGCGACAATTCTCTGCTGCTTGGTTAACCGCTCTTGCTCTGCCATGCCGTATTTACATGATCTCAAAGGCGCCGTCGTTTCTCAGATGTGGTCAGCTTCCATGACCATGTCAAAAACATCGCAGGTCTTGGCATCACAGCACAACCCACTCTGCCCGGCCAACACAGGCACTCAATGCGGCAGTCACAGCTAAATCACATTGGATTTGCATACAAAATCGTTGTTGTATACAGATATCCCAGTCACGGACCAGCCGCTCCCTAGCCAACGGATGCGATGTTGCAAAGGCTGAAAGCCTCGTTTGCATGCGTGCCTTCCTATATTGTCACCTTCACTTGCAGACCGCGCCGCCACCCAAACATTGCCCTGCTGTTTTGTTTCTGTACCCGGACCCTTGTCTATATAAACTGCCTCTCTCCTGTCACAAACCTTTCCTTCTCATCTTTGGACTCCTCAAACACTTTCATACATCGAAATTCCAAACACACGATTACATATCTTCACCCAACACATCACCTTCTTCTCTTCCACTTCGAATCCTCCATCTCCACTTGGACCATTCTCACACAACACTTGGACATCTCCATCCAACACTCCCACATCTCTACCTGTCACGTCTCACTCTCCACCTGACACTTCGAACTCTCCATTTGACACCTCGACCTCTCATCCCGACACTTCGACAACAACACTCAACACCTCAACATCACCATCACACACAATGCAGCACATGATTCCTGCATCTTTCACCATGCCGCTCACCACACTCTTCGCCAGGCGTTCCGCCCAACACATGTCCAACGGGACCACTGTCCAAGCCAGCAATGACACTACCATCATGGTTCCAGCTGAACCGGTTCACCACAAGCGCAACTCCTCTGGTGGTCGCATCGCTGCCGGCTTCCGCAAGATATTCTCCGGCCGCGACCATGACAACTCTACAAGTCAGGTCTCGGTTGATACACCATCCAGTCAACTATCAGAGTCGCAGGTCAGTCACTAAGCTTACAGTCTCGTGTTAACCAAGCTAACTTCTGCCACACAGCGATCGCGCCCATCTTCTCCGGAGACCGCATCCACACCACCGTCGACTGCTGGCTCGTCCTCCCCAGGCTTAGCCAACAAGAATGCCCGCACCGACTTGGAGCCCGCTGCCACTTCACCTGAGGTGAGAAGGACTACTGAGAGTCTCTGCGAGGCCCCCATCCACGCGACCACTGGCCCTCACGATGATATCGTGTCCGCCGCGCCTGCCCAAGAATCCAATCATCACGACGCGATCATGGCCGCATACGCAAAGGCTGAAGAGATACTCGCAGCACGTCATGCGACTCTCCAGACCAAGGCCGAGGATGGCAAAGGTTTGAAGAAGCACTTGGGCCTCAAGCTCAAGAACATTACCGCCAAAGAGGCTGCTAAGGCCAAGGAGACGCACACCGCGGGTGCTGGCCCTTCCCTCCCCCGCCCTGAACCAGCACCACGCAGCACAGAGGTTCGGCGACAACCTCAAACTGCCAGTGATGCCATGGCCATGCTGGAGCGCCGTGAGCGAATCATGTCCATAACATATGGTGCGGTATTCTATGGGTGTCAGGATGCCTACGACAAGCTGGAGCGCCTCAACAACCACTTCTGTGACCGGGATAGCGGACTCAAGCCCCTGAATGCCGATATAGTCATTGGTTTCGGCGACTACCACCTTCGTGCCAATGACTTGGGCTTCTTTGAGCACACATGGATTGCCCGGTACAACTATTTCCGGCTATTCCAACGAAAGCTCAATAGTCGAGAGATTAGTATCGACGATTACGAGTTCCTTGTTGAGCAGCTCTTCCCCGCCGACGATGCCCAGCTCCTGGATCCCGAGGACTTCGACATCTACCTCGAGCCCCTCGTAGAAGAGGGCATTTTCGACATGGACCAGTTCCTGCTGCTCCGAGACCTTGGTGTCTCACAAGAGGAAATGGACCGCACCATCCACTACACCCATCCGGACGTTGCTCCTCGTGTGCAAGCACGTCGGAATGCGGACAACAAGTACTTCCGGATGCCACAGCGTGCCATGCGGACCGGGTCTATCGACCTTCCCGGCCAACCTAGGCGCGACGACAACCTGCACCAGTACCTCCAGCTCCTCGTCGAAGCCGCCGTCTACAAGCAGACCCACTACCGTGGGTTCTACTTTGGGAACGCCGCAGCAGAACTCGGTCGATTCCACCAAGCATACGCCTTGAGTGAGAAGGACAAGCTCCTGCCACCGGAGCTGACCGACTACAACCGCTCATGGACGTACGCTGAGTCCCGGCTTCTCGAGCGCGGCCAGTTGCTTTGCAACTTGCTCAAGCAGTACCAGGCGGGCACCATCACCGACTTTGGTGTCCTTCGGGTTGTTCGCGCAACCCTTGTCCCTCTCCCAGGACAGCCGCGGTTCGGCAGGACATATCTGGAGAAGATGTTGTACGATCGTAGCGTCGGCGCCGGTATGGCGATTCACCAGATCCCAGAGATTCTATCTCTGATGAGGGAGCATGACTCGGTCATGTCCTGCCCGACTGTGCGTCAGACTATGATTGCTGACATGCAGAATACTGCCGTGGCCTTCGAGGCAGAGGAGAAGATTCGGTTGGCCGACATCAAGGCTGACCGACGGACCTTCAAGAAGCAGTTGAAGAAGGAGTTGGGAGTTTGGGGACGGGTCAAGCGCAAGGCCAAGGGTGTGTTTGGCAGGAAGAAGGCGGTAGTTGAGGCAGAGGGCTTCAACCCTTTTAGCCCTGAGCATGGGAGCTGTGTCCCAGAGGGGAAGGCCGATGGATCCTTCTATGCTTGAAGGACGGGGCTGATTTGTGGTTTTTCTTTCCTCTCTGGTCGTCTTATCTTGGTGTTGTGGTTTCTCTTTTTTTTTCTTTTTTTTTCCTCATCTTGGTGTTTGTGGTTTTTCTTTCCTTTCTTGTTTTCTTGTCTTGGTTTATGGTTGGTCTTGATCTTATAATTGGGTTTCTTGGTTTTGATTTTTCTTACACGGGCGTTCTGCATACTGGAACGGCGCCGTATACCCCTCGTGTCGTCTGCCCTTGAGGCATCGAGTCTATAGATGTTTGTTTTTGCATTTCATTCGACATGGCATGGTGGCCCCATGAGACAAAGCCTTAATACATGTCCTTCTCATCATCTCAGCTCATCTTGTCCATCATGCTTGTCTCCTTCTCCTCCATTTTCGGCATCATCTTCCATCTCATCTGTCTTTGCAAGCCCTGACATGCAACTTCAGCTTCTCATACCCCGTGATCCATCAACTCCGGATTAAAATGAATAACAGCTAACCATGTCGTCGCAGATACACACTCTCACTGGAAGTACAATATAGCTGAGCATTCGAACAGTCTCCCGACTTCGCTGCTCCAAC